GGGGACGCCAGACGGCGGGGGGAGGGGGGGGGGGGGGGGCAGCGGGCTGTGAGCCAGCCGAGTCCGCCGTGAGAAGCGGGAGGTGGGAGCGGATGTGAGGTGGGAGCGGGCCAGCCGGCTGGCAGGGCCGTCGTGTGCGGGAGCGGGCCGATCAGAGACACGGCCGGCACCGGGCGGGTGCATGTTGAATCCAAGGGCGAAGGAGACCCCGGGGATGGGCATCCGTAGTCAGAAACGATCCTTTCAGGTAAAAATTGACGGCGTACGCGAGCCAGTGACCAAAACGCGTCCGGCTCGCTTCGCCGCCCTCGGATCCCGTCCACTTTGCACGCTCAGCCGGGACTTGCCGCGAAGTTGGTAGCCTCGGACGAAGGCTCCGTCTCCGACTGAATACCAAGTACGCCTACGGGTCTGACCATGCGGAACCCACAAAGTCACCGAAGAGCAGTACAAAGGCGCTGCAATCACCCGCCACGCCGGCGCCGGACCTATTTTTGACGCGGCGCCGGGCCGCGCACAGCGCACGGGCGTGGCCCGCCGTAGGCTCCAGGATCAAACGAATCAAGCACTAGCACCGTGACACATCGCTTCCGCAGCCGCGGTCAAATAACCGTGCCATCCATTTGCCCTTCCGTTTCGACCGCGGGGATTCGCAGAGCTCGGGGTCTGAGATCGCCGCGCAGGACGTCATCAAGGGCCGGTACCGGCAATAGCGTTAGCTGGATCTTGACGTCAGGGTAGTTCGAGTCAATCCTCGTGGGGCGCCAAACTGGAGCTCAGGGGGCGGGCAAGCTCCGTCGATTTGGGAGATACAAACCGTATATCCGTGTCCGTTTAATAAGCATAAGCGCCTCAGAGAGTGACAGGCAAGCAGCTCCAAGCAGTTCCAAGCAGCCAGCACCGGTGTCCGTACAAACAGCTCACGCCTCCGTTCGATCGGCATCGGTGTGCGAGCGCGTCGCAGCGGTGTTGATGCGGCCACCGCTACCTCCAGTGTGGCGAGCACCGGTGTCCGCGACAACAGCGCCTCAATCCGACAGTCCGTGTCCCCGGTACCGGTGCGGTCGTCTAGCCGACGGTCGGACACGCACCATCGCCCGCCCACTGCCGGCAGATGATCGGAACCGGCGCTTGCCGATCCATAACGGCCTGAGCGGACACCACCGGCACCACCGGACACCACCGGCGCCACCTGGGCGGACACCACCGGCACCAACCGGACACCACCGGCCGGAGCGCCCGTTCGGGAAACCGGCTCGCGTCACTGGCGACGACCGCTGTCTAACCTGGCCCGTTCCAGGCCTGAGTGAGCGGCCCACCACTCCACGACAGCCGCAGATGCTCCCCGACCGCCGCGCCGCCGGTTGGGGTAGGTCTGTCATCAGCGGCTGGCGGTCTGCGCCGCCGGAACGACCGCATCGTGGGACTGATCGCACGGCGCCGGGCGGGAGCGGCCGGCGACTGCGAGCGGGCGGCCAACGCGTCCCGTCCCATCCCTTCCCGTCCCGTGTCCCATCCCATCCCATCCCGTCCGAAGCCTCCCACACAACACATCACAACACATCAGGGGGGGGGGGGGGGCGGGACAACACGGCGAGCCCGAGCGGCGGTAGCTGATCCTGCCGTCAGCAATCGCACCTCAGCCGCCACAGCACCCCCACCCACCTTCGCTTTTGGCGCCGTCCGCCGGCTTGCTCTGCGACACGGCGGCGACGACCTTGTGACCCGAGATCAGGTCGCTGAACGAGAGCGAGGACGCAATCATCTGGCGCCGCTGCTGGAAGTCCAGCTGGTCGACGCTGCTGGCCCGCTCGGGTCGCGTCCGCGGTGACGTGTAGTACACACTGTTCACCTGGACGGCCATGGCAGCGGCGCGCCGCGCCGCTCACGCACTGGGGCGCGCCGCCCGTGCGTGCGCTCTCCCCTCCCTCTCTCTCTCTCTTTCCCACTCGCTGCTCTACCGCAGCACGGCGACGCTCGACCGGCGGCTCCGCAGCACCGACACAGCGCGCGCCCCTCCGTCCTGCACAGCCCCGCTACTGCACCGCGGCACGCATTGCGCCCCCCGCTCACAGCGTCAGCACCAGCGCGCGCGCGGCCCGCTCCGCTGCCGGCCGGGCGGCGCTCACCTGCCCCCGCTGCCGTTGTGTTCAAACTGGCGGCCGAGCCGCGGACGGCCGGGCCCGGCCCCAGCGTTACCTGGCGGCGGCCGCCGCGCCGGCCGGCTGGAATGCGCCGCGGGCCGCCGCCGCCGGCCGCGCCGCGTACGCAGCGGCCGCAGCGCGCGACGGCCGCCGCTGCGAGCGCGTGGCGCCACCGGTCGGCGGCGGCGGCGCGGCGGGCGGCGGCGCGACGCGGGCTTGGCGGCCGCGGGCGGCGCGGGCCGTCGCCGGCTGTGTTTGCGTCGGCTGACCCTCGCGCCCGCGCCGGCGCCCTGCTCCGAGGCGCGGGCCGCGGCGCCAAGGTCGCGCGACGATTACTGCCGCGATGCGCGCCGGCTGCAGCGCGGCTGCACGGCGGCGCGCGGCGGCCGCCGGCGCTGCACGGCCGGCTGTGATGGCCGGGCGGGGCCGGCCGACGGCGCCGGACAGCGAGACTGGCGCCGCTCCGTCGCCCGCGGCTCTTGCGCGGCCGAAACAGGGCCCGCTGCCGGCGCCGGCGCCGTGTCGCCGCGGGCGCGGCGCACCAGAGCCCGCCCCGGGTGAGCTCCGGCCCGGCCCGCGGCCACGCGGCAGCTCTCGCTGAGCGGTCAGGCCGACGGCAGCACGGCCACCACCGGGCGCGGCGAACGGAGGACAGCCTCAGGCCGGCGCCCTGACTCACGGCCGGGATGGCAGCTGCGCCCTGCATTCAGCCGAGGTCACCGCCCCAAACGACAGCTCACTGGGGAACGCCGGGCACGGGTGAACGCGCCGCGAGGCACAGTGGATCTCTGGTGGCTCCACCGCTGCGCTGCGCTGAGGTCGGCCAACAAAGAACGGACGTGCACGAAACGCGGCGCAGAACTGAGATCGGGCAGGCCGTATCGCAACAAGGCATTCTAATCGGTCATGTATTCAAAGCAGCCCGATGAATCCGAACCGATCATAACGACGCACTCCGTTCCATATCGGAGGTCTCTCACGAAGAAAACGGACGCGTGCCGAGACGCCGATTCCACCGAGAAGCCCCGTCGTCTCATCTTTGCCACATCCGGGGACGCAAAGAATGGCATCTCCCGCCTGCCACAGCATGCTGATCCAATGCAGCATAACGCGGCGGGCGTCGCCCTTGGTGCGGTGTGCTGGATGCAGGCCTTTGTGCGCCGCAGCGGCCCCGCAATAATGATCGCATGTGTCACGCGCCTCAGTCAGATGCATATCGATGGCGGCAAAAAAGGCCTATGAACAGCGATGTGGATATGAGCCTCGCGCAAATAACGCTATCAGCTGTATTGCGCCCAACGCTGCCAGGTGAGAGTTGCTCCACTGAGCGAGAGGTCTGTCGCAAGGTTCAGCTCTGATCCAAACAGCGCTACATGTGCAATGCTGCACTTGAACCACTGCTCCCTTTTTGGAGCTATACTTGCGCACTTACGCTACACACTGCACTTGACAGTAGTGTGCACATGGGCGGAGGTGTCTGCCGGCTTCGGTCCCTGCGTCCGCCCCTGGCGGGCGCGAGCCAATCGGAGCATCTGTCGATCGGACCACGGCCAGTGGGCCCGGATCTCGCCCCTCCCCCCGCCCCCCAACCCCACCAACCCCAATCAAGGCCATAAGGCTCGGAAACGGACTCAATTTTCTACGGCACGGCTCGGTCGGCCATCCGATGACCATTGACAGGAGGCCCGTCAAGGTCTGGCGGCGCTCTGGGCAGCCGGTGTGCCCCTGCGACAACACGGCGCCACGGCTTCGGAGTGTCGCAGAGCTGCGACACGTGCAGCTTTGCAACACTTGAAACCGCGCTTCCTGCTTTGACAGCCGGCGGCAGGGCGCGTGGTCCGGGCGTAGTCCACGTTTCCGCGAACCCGCAGTCTTCCCATTACGACCTGCCTGAACTGTCGCCGGCAGCTGGACACGCGGCGCGACGTGAGTGGCACGCCTGCAACGGCGGCGGCGGCCTCGCCCGGCCCCGGCTAATCTGATGGCAGCGAGCCTTCAGCGGCGGCGAGGACTGGTTCGGGGCGGTGACGTCGCCCCGTCGCGCGGCACCGGTGACACAGAGACCCGCTGACGGCCGGCCGGCCGCGGCGCCACCCGCCAGCTGCTCACCCAATCGGGTTACAGCGCCCACTTGAGAAGTGCAGCCGGCGCTGCAGCGGCGTGGGGCCGGCTCTCCACGGAGACTGGTTCACCGGACGTCACGGCTGCGCCCCGCCGAGCGCCCGTGACACGGCCGGGTGAGCCGCGCCGCGGCAACCGCGACTCCCAGATCCCGCGTCGCGTGTCCCGTCTCTGTCGCCCACCGGTCAAGGCCAGCTCGTGCGCGACATCTGGCGCTGCCGAGAATAACCCATCCCCGTCCACAGCGGCGACCGCATTCCTTCCGCTCGCCACCGGGAGAGAAACCGCCACCGGCTGTCACCGGCGTCAGCGGCCACCGCGCCGGACCGCCGGGCGTCCTCCGCACCATGACTAAACAAGGTCAGGGCGCGCCACGCGGCTCGACGCGCCGCCGGTGCCCCGAATAGACAGCCGGCGGGCCACCAGCTGGCGCGGGCACCGGTAAACCGTGCCGCGCGCGCCGCCCGCACCTAACGGCGAGGCGACGCACGCAGATGGTGGTGTGATCGGCCGCGCCACGGCCGCCACAGCCGGCCCGGCAGTGGCCGCCCACCGACAGCGGCGTGTCGGCCGGGCCACGACCGCCGCAGGCATTGGCCGCTCGCCGACAGCGGCGCGTCGGCAGCGCCACGACCGCCGCAGCCGGCCCGACAGTGGCCACCCGCCGACAGCGGCGTGTCGGCCGGGCCACGGCCGCCACAGCCGGCCCGACAGTGGCCGCCCGCCGACAGCGGTATGTCGGCCGGGCCGAGCGACGCCGGTACGGCGGGCCGGCTCTCGGACGAGGCGGAGGAAAGGTCAGCCTGGAGACGGTCCGGTGAGACAGCTCAGCCCAGAGACGGTTTGGTGAGAGACTGGTCAGCCTGGAGACGGCCTGGTGAGACAGCTCAGCCCGGAGATAGCCTGGTGCAAGACTAGTCAGCCGGGGGACATCCTCGTGACAGTCCGTGCCGGGGCAACCGCCGGGTGTGGCGCAGGGCAGCCTGGACAGGAGTCGGCCGAGCCTCGCTCACGCCACGGACAGGCACGAGACATTCCGGCCACAGACGGCCCGGCGAGAGGTCGGCCGTCAACGACGACGCGGCCCAGACCTTGCCGGACTACCATGAGGAAGACTCCGCGCACAGGCAAGCCTGGCGACACTCCTGCTCAAGAGGACCAGCCCGGCGACAGCCGCCGAGCGAGGCCCGGGCCGGCCGCAGCCAGTCCGACATGAGCCGCCGCCACGGCTGTCAGAGACGGTCCCGCGCGGCCGCCGCTGTCAGCCGCGCGGCTGACCGCGCCTGATCGCCCCGGCTCGGAGTGGCCGGCGTCAATTACGCTCACGTCATGTACGGGCGATGATCGGACCGCGGACGGACGTGTGCTGACATATCGCAGGCCCGCAGGCTGCGACGCGCCGGCCGGCCAGCGGCACTGTCGCTTGCCCCCAGGCTATAATTCACTCGATCGCGGTATATGAGGGCGCGAGTCAAGCCGCTCCACACAAGCTATTTAACACGCACCCTGGTGGTCGGCCGAATACCTTCGCTCGGGTGGGGAAGGGTCAACTTGGCCCTTTGAGATCTTGAATACTAAGATAGCTAGAGACAGCGATAGAAGGAGAAAAGATTGGCCTGTATGTCAATTCAGTTATGTCCAAATTTGAGGCTCCTTGGTCTTGACCCTGGCGTCAAATAAGCTTAAACAAGGTCAAACTCCAGATTGGTGTCCAAAGTGCCCCCAGATCTCCTCATGCCACCACCATGAACCGATGGCAATGGTGATCATTTAAGGTCAGTGAAGTTGTTTGAAATTTAGAAGATCAAGGTGGCCACCTTGACCTACGGAAAACAACGAGATCGCTCCCATTTTGCCATTTAACTACGCGTCCGGGATTACGCTACGTTCCTAAAACAAAATGCCGACATCGGTAATTCAAAGCCAGTAACCTACCCTGACCTTTAAACAAATCATGAAGCATGTCTGTTGCCGTTCCTGTCATCAACGAATCATGTAGGATCGCCAGAAACCACCCCATAAAGCAGACTCTTCGAGTAAAAAACGGATTAGTTTTGACCTCGGTATGACCTTCGTACTTGACCCTAGGTCAATAAAACTTGATCTAATGGTTACTCCACGAGGGGTAAGGCTACTACTACTGTCTCATGTATTAGCATCACGTTTCTCGCAAATGCACTTAGCAACAACGAAGCCGTACAAGATATGTGAGGTTTCGTCTGACACTCCGTCGCCGCATCAGATTGAACGATTTCTTACAAATCGCCTTCGCTGAGAGCCATGGTCTGGCTTTGACTTGCCACAAGCCAGCGATCGAGATACATTTTACTTCTACACCAAAATATCCTCTATTCGATCGCCTACAGCTATGCAAAATTTGGTGCGGCTACGCCGCACCGTTCGGAAATATTCTGGAAAATACTTTAGGGGTCAAGCTGACCCCCAACCCAAGCGTGTTAAACATGGTGGCTCTCTACGATCTGAGCTCGGGAACAACCCACACCAAATCAAGTACAAAACACGTCAAAAAATGCGCTGCGGACGTCTCAGCCAGTACGCAAAACAGTCAGCGAGTAGACTGTGGAGCTGCGAGACTACGCGTCGACGCACGCACCCGCCAAGGTCCTCAGCGTCGGAGTGCCGCCACACCGTCCGCTGCACCGGCCAGCGCAGCTCCGGTTCGCCACAGCAGCCGGCAGCCGATGCGATCAAGGCCGCGACGCCGGCAGCGCGGGCACGTAGCACACGTACGGCGCCGGCGCCGGCACGTGCCGCTGCAGTGGCCCGGCCGGAGCGGCGGGGCGGCCCCCGGCCCTCCCAGCCGCTGCATGGCCCGGTCAAGCGGCGGGGCGGCCCCCGGCCCTCCCAGCCGCTGCAGTGGCCCGGCCACAGCGGCCGGGCGGCCCCCGGCCCTCCCAGCCGCTGCAGGGCCCGGCCGGAGCGGCGGGCGGCCCCCGGCCCTCCCAGCCGCTGCAGTGGCCCGGCCGGAGCGGCGGGGCGGCCCCCGGCCCTCCCAGCCGCTGCAGTGGCCCGGCCACAGCGGCGGGGCGGCCCCGGCCCTCCCAGCCGCTGTAGTGGCCCGGCCAGAGCGGCGGGGCGGCCCCCGGCCCTCCCAGCCGCTGCAGAAGTCCGGCCACTCTGTACGGACCCGCGGTCCGTACAGAGTGGCGGCGGCCCCCGGCCCTCCCAGCCACTGCGTGGCCCGGCCAGAGCGGCGGGGCGGCCCCCGGCCCTCCCAGCCGCTGCAGAAGTCCGGCCACTCTGTACGGACCCGCGGTCCGTACAGAGTGGCCGGGCGGCCCCCGGCCCTCCCAGCCACTGCAGTGGCCCGGCCAGAGCGGCCGGGCGGCCCCCGGCCCTCCCAGCCGCTGCAGCGGCCCGGCCAGAGCGACGGGGCGGCTCACGAACATAATCATTACGAACGTTTGCGATGGCATGTGTGATCATGTGTGATGTGATCATTTGCGCTGACGAATGTCTGCATCGACGTTTGCCAATGCCTGCATCGAAAACATCCGCGCTTAGGAGCAACTGCAGGCGAACATTCACGCACTGACACCCGTTTTATGAACACCCGCCGTACAAACATCGCGCCCTGGCCGGGCGTACGCGGCAAGTCAGGGCACCGCAGCTACGGCGGATGTTCATAAAGCAGATGTCAGTGCGCGAATGTTCGCTCGCAGTTGTTCTCAGTCGCAGATGTTCTTGATGCAGACATTTGTAGACGTCGATGCAGACATTCGTCAGCGCAAATATTCACATTGCACCTGCCATCGCACACATTCGTAATGATTATGTTCGTAATCGCCATGAACGAACGGGCAAATTTTGCACCTATGGAAGATGTTCGAATGTTATGACGCTCGCGTCGCAAATGTTCACAGACCAGGTGTTCGTATGCGAAATTGAGGTAGACGATGCAGCCGCTCAAAGCTTAAGTCCAGATTCCACCCGTAGATGCACACTTGGCGTGACCTGCGGCCCGTCCAGATTTCGCCACTCAGGTGCCGCAGGCCACCGGGGGCGGGTGGTCACTCCCAACTGCATCAAGGATGGGTGGTCACCCCCCAACTGCACCAAGGTCGGGTGGTTACTCTCCAACTGCATCAAGGACGGGAAGTCACTTCCAACCGCACCAAGGACGGGTGGTCACTCCCCAACTGCATCAAGGACGGGTAGTCACTCCCAACGGCCCCACTGATGTCACTATCACTGACTCCCGCCCCGCTCACTGATGTCAAAGACTCCTCGATACGGCCGGCCGCCGCTGGCGTGTGCTGCACGTGGACGGCCGCTCACCCCCACTGCCGCCCTCCTGATGTGTTCAGCGTTCAGACACGCCTGCCCGAGCGGTCGCCGTCCGCCTGTGCAGAATGCGTCCACCAACGAAACTGGCGAGGCGGCACGGGCACTGGGGCGACCAGCACTGTCACCATATGCCACAGGCCAACGTCACCAGAGGCCACCAGAGCAGCCCCGAACCGCGCTCGTCACTGACTCCTGCCGTCCACACCAGGCCGACCTCCATCCAGGCCGCGCCGAGGCGGCTCCACTCACTGGAGGGGCGCGGCCAGGCCGCTGTACCCGCGAAGCGCTGGTACAGTGGTACGTCAGCCTACCGCCGCAACATCGGGGCGCGGTCGGGGGCACCGAGGACGCTTTCTGCCTGCCTCGACGGTGCTCGGACGTCCATCCTAATCCATTAGCGGCAGACGACGAATCATCCGGTAGGACAGGATAGAACACGACCCGGCGAGGTCGTCCCCCGTCACCGCAGGCCGTCCACCGGTCAACAGTTACTACCGGTTACCGGGCACCCAGTCAACAGTCACGACACCGCGTCCCCTGCTGGTCACCGTCAGGGACTGGAACGACCACAACCCGGCAAAAACACCACCGCCCCAGTGTCCGCCACCGAAGTGACTGGAGGACATAGACAAATCCGCTGGAATGTTACTCCAAGAAGAGGTCGTCGCTCTTGCGCTCCTGAAAACTCTAATGCAGATGGTTGTGGTAGACCAAAACAATCAGACATAAAAACCTCCGCGAAGTTCGGCTTGTTTACCGGCAACACCCACGAACATAACGTGTGTTGCTGAGTAGTATACGGTATCTGCTGGCGTAGATTAAGAGCAGAGCCATAGCTTAGCACGGTTTATCATGGCGAAACTGATCTCGGTGCTCACATGGCTCGAACTACGCGATAACTCGGCCCCAAACCTCTTACCCGAACGGAACTGAGGGATCACTCGCATGCTACCACCGTGACACGGCCGCCCGAGGCGCATGGCTCAATTTCACGTCGGGGAAATGCGACACCTATGGCGGAAATCGACCCCGCGCTGCAGCGCGCTCAGCTCGCCGGGACCGCCACCGGCTGGGAAGCGAGGCCGGCGCGCCAGCCACTCAACACGCCGAGAGGCAAAGGGCAAACAACCACAACCGCAAACAAGAAACAGCAGGTAGCAGTGTACTACTACTACTACAACACCACCTGCCCGCTGGGCTGTGGACTGCCCGCACACCGCAGCCCTTTCGCATGTCCTCCCCCCCCCCCCCCTATCCCACCCGCGCATCTCGAAAAAATCCCCCTCTGAACCGCCTGGACTGCCGAGGGCCGAGCTGGTGCCGGCCAGACTCCGGCGGAGCTGGACGGCAGGGCTGCGGCAGCCGGCCAGCTGTCGGATGCGTCGGCGGCGGCAGTTTTCTGAGTCGCGCTCACGCGCTAATGAGCACCTCCACTGGCGCCGTATCGGACTCGCGGTCGGTGTAATGGCGGGATACCCAGACGGCCGCG